CAAGGAGGGACTGGTCCTTGGAGAGGGACATCATGTTTGGGAGAGTGGAGGGATGGTGCAGGAGAGGAAGACCCTCGATGAGATAGATCGATTCTATGAGTGGAGTGGTGGGAATGAGTATGTTTGAGACAGCGAGGTTGGCACAGGATAGAACGGCGCTAAGGGCTCTTGTACATAGGGTCGCTAAGAGCCGCAACGACTTGATGGCACATAACAACAACAACAACATACAACATCATGCTGAATGAAATGAGTTAGTCACAGAACACATATTATATGATCTCACCTATATGACAGTAAATTATACATAAGACCAAAGCTTATTAGTGGTTCCCATGGACAGACAAAAGAACAAACAGATACATTTTGGAGAAGGTGCAGCTAGAGTAGGAAAGATGGTGAAAATTCATCTCACATTTATGCATATTGCTACGAAAGGTTATTCCTTGGAGAGGGACATCATGCTTGGGAGAGATGGCATGTTGGAGACATGGCAAAGGCGAGGAAGACCCTCAACCAGGTGTATTGACACAGGGACTGCAACAATGGGCTTGAGTGTGTCAGAGATTGGGAAGATGGCACAGGACAGGATTCAGGTCTGTTGTTCATAGGGTCGCTATGAGCTGTACTCAACTCAACTGGCACTTAACAACAGGTGGAAGTGAGGGAGAAAAGGAGTCACTGTCGGGAAGGACTCAGTTTCTATACAGGCTGATAGTATAATTTGGAAAATGATAATAGTGTTTGCACAACATGATGGGTGTAATCAGTATCTGTGAACTGAACCTGTAAAACCTGTTGAATTGGCAATTATTTTTATATAGTTTGATGACAATTTTTGAAAACCAACAGAACCTCCATTTAATTCATGAAGTGTTCTATATTAAAAAAAAACAACAAAAAACATCTATTGCCAAGGGGGCCCTTTAGGGTAGTGAGAGAAGATATTCACCCTGAAACCCACAGCATCCCTTTTCAGCAGGAAGTAGCTAAGAGAATACGCCATCCCCTTTTCCTTATGAATCAGGGTGAAGTCTCTCTCAGGGAGGAGTGATAGAGAATGGCAAAGGACACGCCGACAAAGGAGATTAATCAGAACTGGCTTTGACAAGCACTGTGGCAATGGGACAATTAAAACAGACTTTCAAGGAAAAAAAAGAGAGGAATGAACTGTGGGGGAGTAGAGAAAATAGTGCAATAATGAATAAATGGGA